TGGCGATGGCTTGCACTCCTCCACACCAGCTTTCTGAAGTAAATCCCGGGCATATTTTTCTTGAGAAACAATAATATAATCCTTCGTACGTTTGACCTCAAGACCCAAAAAATAGTGAAGAGGGCCAAGATCCTTCATCTGAAACTCGCGCTGCATGGAGTGAATAAATGCAGTGATAAGGGAGGGATCACTACCAGTGACAATAATATCATCCACATATAGCAGAACAATAAGGACAACATGAGTGGAGTGTTTGACGAAGAAACTGGTGTCATGCTCATTTTTTGCCAAAACCATAGTCCTGTAAAAAACCTGAGAGTCGCTCGTACCAGGCCCGGGGAGCCTGTTTGAGTCCATATAAGGACTTCCTCAATTTGCACACATGACGTGGGTACTTCTGATCAATATAGCCAGGTGGCTGCTTCTTGTATATCTCATCGGGGACTACTCCATGAAGAAATGCGTTGGAAACATCCAACTGATGTAGTGGCCAGTTATGATTTACTGCAAGAGAGAGAATCAAGCGAATGGTCTGTTGTTTGACCACGGGACTGAAAGTTTTCGAGTAGTCCAAGCCATATTCCTGTGTATACCCTTTTGCCACCAACCGTGCTTTGTACCTGCTAATAGAACCATCAGAGTTACGTTTAATTTTGTAAATCCACTTACAATCAATCGGAACCCGATCTGTACGACAGGGAACCAAGTCCCATGTGTGCTGATTTATCAAGGCGGAGTATTCTTCGTCCATAGTCTGACACCAATAAGTACTTTGGGAGGCTTCTTTATATGTAACAGGCTCAGTAGCAGGTGGAGGAGAGTGAGGGACAGAAGTAGAGTATAGTTTGGGTTTGAAGATACCACTTCGGGAACGGGTTGTCATGGGATGGCGGAGTGGGGGTGGGGGTGGAGTAGGGATTGGAGATGATTCGGGACTTGGGTGTTGGCTGGGCTGGGTGACGGGTGATGTTGTGCTTCGGCTGGGCGTTAGGGCAGTGGGTTGGGG